CTGACATTATGATTAAATTATGAATAAGACATCCATGTGTAGGTTTTTGTGTGGACATATGTTTTTAATTCCTTTGCTTCAATACCATGGAGCACAACTGCTGGATCGTATGGTTAGAAACCATACATTTTGTTAGAAACAACCATACTAACAGTAATTGATGAGAGTTCCTGTTGCTCTATATCCTGGTCAGCATTTGTGGTTGTCAGTGTTCAAGATTCAGACCATTCTAATATGTGGTGTGTAGTGGTATCTCACTGTTGTTTTAATTCACATTTCCCTGATGACATATGATGTGGGACATCTTTCCATATGCTATTTGCCACATCTTCTTTGGTGAGGTGTCTGTTATGGTCTCTGGACCATTTTTTAAGCAGCCTGTTTTTTTTACTGCTGAGTTGTGGGTTTTTTTGTTTGTTCTTTGTTTTGGGTACTAGTCCTTTATAAGATATGTCTTTTGCAAATATTTTCCCCCAGTCTGTGGCTTATCTTCTCATTATCTTTTTTTTTTTTTTTATCCTCACCCGAGGACATTTTTCCATTTTTTGTACAGATAGAGTGGGAGGGAGAGAGAGGAAGAGATAGAGAGAGAGAAACATCGATGTGAAAGGGACACATCAAGTGGCTGCCACCGCACGACCAACCAGGGCCGGGGACAAACTGCAACCGAAGTACGTGCCCTTAGCGGGAACCGAACCCGGGTCTCTCCAGACCGCAGGCCAACGCTCTAACCGCTGAGCCAAACCGGCAGGGCTCTTCTCATTATCTTGATGTTGTCTTTCACAGAGCACAAGTTTTAAATTTTAATAAAGCCCAGCTTATCAATTATTTCTTTCATGGATCATGCCATTGGTGTTGTGTTTAAAGTCAGTGCCATACCCACAATCATGTAGGTTTCCTCTTCTAAGAGTTTTATAGCTTTGCATTCTGCATTTAGTCCCATTATCCGTTTAATTTTTTTAATGTGGTTTGTGTCTAGATTCAATTTTTGCATATGAATATGTATAGCTGTCCCACATCATTTAGTAAAAAGACTATTGTTGCGCCACTCTATTTCCTTGCTTCTCTGTCAAAGATCAGATGACTGTACTTATGTGGGTCTATTTCCAGGCTCTCTATTCAGTCCCACTGATCTATTTGTCTATTCTTTTGCCAATATAATTTCTTGATCACTCACTTTATAGCAAGTCTAGAAGTCAGGTAGTGTCAGTTTTTCAACTTTATTCTTCTCCTTCAATACTGTGTTGGCTACTGAGTCTTTTGCCGCTCTATAGAAACTTTAGAATCAGTCTGTTGATGTTCACAAGGTAACTTGTTGGAATTTTTATTGGGACTGCACTGAATCTACAGATCAAGTTAGGAAGAACTGACATCTTGACAACAATGAGTCTTTCTATCCATGAACACAAAATTTCTCTCCATTAATTTAGTTCTTCTTGATTTCATTCATTAGTTTTATATTTTTCCTCATATATCTTGTACACATTTTGTTAGATTTATAATGAACAATTTTCAATTTCTTGAATGCTAATGTAATTTTGTTTTTAATTGCAAATTCCACTTGTTTCTTGCTGGCATTAATACACATATGGACACAAACAAACTAAATACTATAGTATCTTATTCTTTGGTGTGGCTCTTTGCTAAATATTTTCCTTAAAAGCAGGGGTCAGCAAATTAAGGCCTGTGGGCAAAATTCAGCTCACCACCTGTTTTTGTATTGCCCATAAGCTAAGAATTTTATACTTTTAAATGGTGGTGGTGGTGGGGAATCAAAAGAATATTTTGTAACACATGAAAATTACATAAAATTCAATGTCCAGTGTCCTAAATAAAGTTTTACTGGGACACAGCCACACCCATTTATTTATAATTGGCTGCTCTCTCACTATAGTGGCTGAGTTTGAGTAGTTACAACTGAAGCCTTAATGGCTTGCAAAGCTTACAGTATTCACTATCTAGCCATTGACATAAAGTATACCAACAACCCCTGCTTTAAAATCTGTTCTGAAAGCAGTCTCATACAAAAGTAAACTTGGTTGGCATTCAGGTTCAAGGATCAACAGAAGTATTTATGAAGTTCAAATTAATTCTGCTCTTTTTTTATGGTTTTCACTAGCTAAAATCTTTCACTTTCTGTAATCAGTTCAGCATGCTGAAGATCAACTATAAAAGATTATAAAAATAGATAATATATACCCAGCTTCTGCCTTCTTTCCTCACCCCTAGGATTTAGACAATATAGCTCAGATACTTAAACTCTAGAGTCAGACTGCCCAAGTTCAAATCTCAGCTCTGTCCCTTGAAAACTGTATAAACTGCCCAGCTGGTATGGCACAGTGGTTGAGCATTGATCCATGCACCAAGAGGTCGCCGGTTCAATTCCCAGTCAGGGCACATGCCCAGGTTGTGGGCCAAATCCTCAGTGGGGAACATGCAGGAGGCAGCCAATAGATGTTCTCTCTCATCAATGTTTCTATCTCTCTCCCTCTCCCTTCCTCTTTCTCTAAAATCAATAAAGAAAAAAAAAATTAAAAAAAAAAAAAGGCTCTATAAACGTTGGGTAATATATCCCCCCCTTCCTCATCTATAAAATGGAAATAGCAGTATTCATCCCTGAGTTGGGAGAATTGGAGATAATACATTCTTAGAACAATGCCTGGCACACAGTAAATGCTAAATAAAGGTTAATCTAATAAAGTAGATTATCTTCTTCACCATCCCCCACCCCAACTTCTTCCCTCTCCTATTAGATGAAGAAAGCAAAGCTCAGAAAGAATATGAAACAAATAATAATTAACTGGCTTCACCTCTTGTTAATTACTGCCAAGCTAAGAGACCAGGTGACAGAAATTACAAGCAGGAGGAAAGTTAGAAACCTTCTGAAGCATCTCAAATTTTTAGTGTCACAGTTCTAGGTCTTAAAATAGGACTTGCCGTCCCTGTAATTAATAATCCAGTTCAGAGTCAACCCTGGCAAGCAGAATACCCTGAAGGAAGCGGCACATTTACCAGCCCTAAAAATACCAGGGAGTATAGTAGGTATTGATTTGCACCTCTAAGGACCCTCTGTTGGGAAAATACCTACTTCACAGATAGACTTTCCATAGACCACAGAAAACACATACCACCAGAACTGAGAAGGGCTTTTCCACTGCACCAGAAGGTGGTGGACAAGCTCACCTGCAGGAAACTGAGTGTATAGGAGCCTAGTACAGAGAGAGTTAAAGGAGTCTGCCATCGAGGGGAGGTTGTTTTGCAAATGGAAACCTGCAGAAGCATGCCTGTATTTCTGGTTTTCAGTCCCTTCTCTCTCCAAAACAAAGGAACAAAACCCAAAGAACTTTTAACAGTGCTGGGTTGATTACTATAATTAACATTTAATGTTACTGTAATCTCATTAATTATTTTCATGCTGATTTGTGACTAAATTTTACTGAAAATCTACAAAGGAAAATAGCAAATAGTTTTATCCACAAAACCAATTTTCCGATTTTTATACAAAATAGTCACTAAGCCAAGGTTTCGGTTACACAAGAAAGCTGTGCTTTTTTTTGTTAATTCTTTTGCAATACCCTACCAGTTTCCTTTGCTATGGCAAATGATTTTCTGGTTGACAGTAACTTTTATATTTTTGTTCTTGACCCTCAAATAATGCCTTTTCTTATTGGTTAAATGTTTTCCAAGTTTACTGTATTTCTAAAACACTTTTTGTTTAGTCATCACTAGAAAATAAGACTAGTCATGTAACAATGAGTCATCTAAACAATCCCAATTGGTAATCTCCCTAGTCTTTTGGCAAGACAAATTCAAGATCTCTCATTTGTTTAGATGCAATACCATGAGTCAATACAGGCTCAAACTGTGTAGTATAAATTAACGATGTGGTTTCCTGATACAGGTGTCAAGTAGCAAGTTCATGTCATATCTAAGGTCAGTCCCTACATTACCCAGACATTACTATACAGTATTACCAGAGAAACTGGTATTGATTTATATAGTCATTTAGATACTTTATAACTTAAAATGATATTCTGGGCACAAATATACTTAGGACTATCTTCACAACTCATGATTATATTTAGGACTAGCTTCATGTCTCATGGACTGGTTTCTTGGAGGCTGATAGCTAGTTAAAGCTATTCTTTTAGACTTAATGTTGGCCTTCTTTCCTTTCCCTTTTTATTGTTTCTAAACGTTTTTTCTCTTCTACCACTTAAGCAAAACAAAAGGCAAATAAGTCTACGGATAAATCCTCAATGATCCAACCAGGTATTATTTTAGTAAAACCCACATGGATTTTACTAATTTTTTTATAAAAGTTGTTAAAATCTAGTTTACTTTATTTTCCCTGTATAAACAATTTACTTGAGCACATTTCATCATCTCCCTCTCCTATAGATAAGATGGTTCCTAGAGATAATTATTTTTACACCCCCCTCTCCACCCTCCCAAAAGAAACCACAGGTCAACCAGTAGGCCTGCACTGGGCACTGAGCTGGGCGAGGAAACTCTAAAAAGGTAGACATCAGTGCCTTCCAAGGAGCTACATTCTATCTGGTGTTCAGTACATACCCACAAAGATAATGGGATACGTGGGATATATTTTGTGCCAAACTGCACAAGCTCCACCTTCTCAGTATTTGTACATGCTCCAATCCTCTGTTTTTACTCCTAGGCCTCTCTGCCTAATAGCAACCCAAAGCCTCTTCATCTTCTAGGTCTAATCAATACCAATTCCCTTACTCAATTTCATTTGTCTATGACTTTACTAAACTGTAAGCCTTAAGAGAAACTATTCTAAATTCTTTGCAATTTCCTTCTTACCTAACGCAGTACAAGTATGCAATAAACTTTTAGGAAAAGAATACACCAAGACACTTCACATCTGGCACAAATATGCACCCCGAAAACACTTCATGCATTTTGTTTCTTCTGTGTTGGAAAGTAGCTGCAATACTTCACATGTGGGTGTGCAAAATTAGCCAATATCCTATTACCCCCAGTTACTTCACCAGCAAGTCTAATTTTCCAAAAACACCAAGGTTAGCCTGAGGTTACTTCAGGTTTTCCATCTGCCAAGGAGACCTGGAATAAAAATCCTCAGATTACAATGGGGTTCTGTAAACAGAAAAAAACTTAAAAATAAATGAGGTGTACACTTTCCAGACTCTCCCTTGTAGGGAGGATTAATAGTTGGTGTCAGGAGTAAACAGATCTTTGTAGTAGTTCTGTTTTCTGGCTCCCGCTGTTCGTAATACTCCCTGTCCTACCTACCTACACAGGCGTGCAGAATAGAGGGGTGACAAGTACGCGCCTACCCTCCCACCAGCGAGGACAGACGCGGGGCGGCTGCGGGACGCCGAGAGCGATCGGCCCGCAGCCTCCCAGGCCAGGCCAACGCCAGCCCGCAGCCCCGGCTGGCCCCAGCTGATTGCGGACACGTGACACCGCGGGCCAATAGGGAGGGGCCGGGGCGCGGCGCGGTGGGGCCTCGGAAGGCACAACAAACACCGGCGGAAACAGCTGAGCGGGCGGCCGCGCGGGGACCCCCTGCCGCGCCCCCAACGCCGAGGGCGCACCGCGGCTACCCAACAGTCGCACCACGCCCTCCGCCACCCTCCCGCGGTTCAGGGGTCAGCAGGGTGGCAAACGTTCACCCGGCGGGGCGAAAAACAAAAGCCAACACCGCCCTCCGCCCGCGGCAAATGCCAGTCGGCCGAGGAGGGAGTCCTTTTTTAGGGACAGGCCTCGCCGTGGCGTCATCGCGGCCCCGCAGCTCGGAGTCCAGTTCGCACTTCGCTGCGGGGTCAGCGGCGCGGCGAGACGGCCTCGGGCCTCCCGCCGACCACCGCGGCGCCGAGCCTGGGCGCGCCCCCGATACTGCGGCGGGGACGCGGCCCGTGGGGGCGGGGCAGCCGAAGGGAGGCTTGGGGGGGCTCGCTGGCCAAACTGGCGTGGAGGCAAGGGAGGCCCGAGCCGCGCCGTGCAGGGGCCCCGAGGCGGCCGGGGGCAGGTGGGGGTACTGGCCGGAACGGCTGGCGGCGGCGGGAGGGCGCGGACGCCGAGCTGGGGGGTCGCGGCTGTGGCGGTCACCCGGGGGTCCCGGCTGCGCGGCGGGGGCGGGCCCACGGCAGCCGCCGCGCCCGGCCTCACAAAGAGGAAACAGCTCAGTCCGTTTGCCCGCAGCCCCCGAGGCCAGGCCCGCCCACAGGGGCCAGGGGCGGCTTCGCTGGGACCCCGGGCGTAACGCGACAAGGAAGAGGCACTTCCTGCCTGGGCCCCCGCCCCGGACCGATCCTCGAGTGCTTCGAAGCCACCGACCTAGGGGTTCTCCCGCGGGCGCCGAGCCCAGCCCCCACCTGTCTTACCCCGAGCGGCTGTGAGATCCGCGGCTGCCTGCGGCTCGTCCCTCCTTAGCTGGGATGAAGCCCCTCCGCACCCTAGTCTTTAGGTTTAGTCAGGCCCGGGCCTTGGCCCCGCCTCCCCCTGGTTGGGCCTTAGCGTCAGTCACCCGGCGTAGCTCCGCCCCTCGAGTAGTCGGTTCTCCCGGTTGGCCCAGAACGTCCTTCATTTCTAGACCCCGCCCCATTCCCCGCGCCCAGCCCCTTCCGTTGGGTCCCGCCCCTTCTCTGGTTCACCCAACCCCCTACTCCGCTCCCCAACGCGCCGCTGCCCACCCCTCCCAGAAGCTGCAGACCCAGGCCAAGCTCCTGGCAGCTCCCCCCGCCCCTGGCCCAACACCTCGGACTTGTACAGCCAATCAAAGCGCATAACTGGGCTCTCTCTCCAGAGGTGTCCAATGTGAAGAGAGTTGGGATCCACCCACCCCTTCCCAGCTGAGAGCTCACAACACAACGTCCACGTGAGTCAACTTCTTAAAGGAGAAAGCTCAACCTTCCTAATTGCCGCAGCTGTGAGACCTCGCGCGTCATCAGCGTCACCAGGTGGTGGCTAAGGCCTAGCTTCCTGAGGCCCAGAGATGACGAATGAAAACAGGCTGTTTTCTAGGCAAACTAGTTAACATTCACCGGGTAATTAATTTATTTTGAGATTGTTTACTCTTGCCACTCCTTATACAAGGCCACCTTTTATTTACAAACCCCAGACTATTTGAGTCTGAGCATATTGGAGTGTGGACAAGATGGGGCCACATGTCAACCTGACAAACTCAGGAAAGGCCTGTGGCGGCCTTGCAAACTCAAAGGCCTAAGTTAACCACAAAGGATGGTCTGAAATTAAAACCCTTTTTTTTTTTTGGTACGTGCCCCTAGCGGGAACCGAACCAGGACTCTGGTCCACAGGCCGATGCTCCAACTGCTGAGCCAAACTGGCCAGGGCTGAAATTAAAACTTTTTAACTAAAGGCAGTTTATGGCAGGTAGTCATGTCTTAGGCCGGCATCTTCCCTGACGAAGGTCAACCATAACCTTAACTATTGTTTATTGTCCTTTTGCATCTCTAACAACATGCCTTTGGAATGTCAGGGTAACCCCTTTTTCCAGACTTCTCAGGGCATAACCAATGCACCAGGGCAGAGACAACAAATCCTCTCACTGTTGTTATCTTGTTCATTGTGGACTGTTAACTACCCTCTACCCACCTATGTAAAAGATGCGTGTGTCTATCATTTTACTTTTCATCCAATCCCAGAGGTTTCCCTGTATTGCTTTCTCCCACCTCCCTAATCTATCCCCAGTGGATTTCATGCAACTCACTCGAGTCTTCTCTTTTGACTGTAATGTACAAAATAAGGTGAAAAACTGCCATTCTCTGGAACAGTATCTCAATCCATTGAGATTTGCGTCCTGGCAATTGTCAACAGTTTGGCTCAAATAAACTCACAGGAATTCTTCATAGGTTTGAATGTTTCTTTCGTTGACAGGAGGAACGCCTGAAGAGTATCAATGGAAAAAAATGATTTTTTAAAAAAAGTGAGCCCAGCTTTATTTACTCCTTGGTAGGGTTTTCGCTTGGTAGTGAAAGTGATCATCAAAAACGTGAGAAAATTCAGTCTTCTGTATGGATTTTCTTCCTTAGAGAGTCTGAAATTTGTTTATTGAAAAGAGTAGCGCCCTGGCTGGTTTGGCTCAGCAGTTAGAGCGTCCGCCTGCGGTCCGTAGAGACCCGGGTTCGGTTCCCGCTAAGGGCATGTACCTCGGTTGCAGTTTGTCCCCGGCCCTGGTTGGTCGTGCGGGTGGCAGCCACTCGATGTGTCCCTTTCACATCGATGTTTCCCTCTCTCTCTCTTCCTCTCTCTCCCTCCCACTCTGTCTGTACAAAAAATGGAAAAATGTCCTCGGATGAGGATTAAAAAAAAAAAAAAAAAAAGAAAAGAGTAGCTGTTCCCTTAACTCTAATTAATGCTTAAGATGGAAGGTTTTTTGTCTCCATTTCATTAGAATTTCCCTAGTAATTACATTAGTGATCTTTGGCTGACTTTCAGGATAAAGCATAAATATTTGGTGATGCATATTTCCCAGGTAAAAAAGACTAACATTTGAGATTAATCTGCAAGGTGTTTAAAGTAATCAGTAGTGGGACAGAGGTTTTGAAGTAAATGCAAGCATTTGACTCCTCATCAACCCCAAATTCATCAGTATTTTTGTTATAGGAAAGGGGACCTGGCCCTTGGTGAGTCTGCCTAGGGCCACCCTGTAGTGTGCGGGTTCTTGACTTCATACAGGAAAAGTTTCATAACAGGAGTTCAAGTGAATTTTAGAGGATGTTTATTAAAGCTGGGGACAATGAAATAAGGAAGGGCTGGGGAAATTAGTTTAGGCTGGGCTGCTTCGGTTCACTAAGAAGTCAGAGAAAAGGGGCCTTGGGGACAGGTTCAGATGGTTTGCCTGGGATGAACTGCTGCCACCTATTGCTGCCCCGGCTGCAAGTCTCCTGGGGTCCCTTAGAGATTAGAAAATGCATGCCTGTGGGGAAAGGGGGTGGTGTGGGGGCACGGGTGTGCTCCTGCGAAGGAGAGCAGGAACTGGGACCTTTGTTTAGACCAATTTTAAAGGCTGGGTGTTTAGAGAACATCTTAGAGGAGGATTTAATAGAATATTCATCAGCTTTATGCTGATATACCAAAATGAGATTTATTCTTTTAACTTCATTTGTCCTTGGGTGTGGTTGGCATAAGGCACTAATTGGATTTCTGTATCTGTCTCCCTGAGTAGAGAGATTTAAGCTATTTACCCTCTGGTTAAGGAGAAGTGCAAACCATTTACTTTTAAGTGTCCCTGGTTTAGGGAAGATAGTTGTATACTGTTTGGCATCTAGATTTTCTATATGGCTGCAAACTGCTGTTTAACTGTCTGTCTCAGTTTCTCTATCCCCCTTGTCCTGGCTCACAAGTCTGTCTCAACAGTTGCATATGTATCCTATTCTTCCCAAACAAATGTACATGAAAGCATATTGTACCTCTTATTCTTCAACTTGCTTTTTCCCATTCACTATGTTTTGGCCATCCTTCTCCATCAAATATATCTTTTATATACAAATTTACCTTTTTCTCCAGTTTTACATTGTATAACTTCACCATCTTTGATTAAACATTATATTTTCTACTGATAGACATACAGATGCCTTCAACCTTCTGTTCTTTAAAATACTGCTTTAAGCCTGACCCGTGTGGCTCTCTGGTTTAGCATCGACCCATGCACCAAGAGGTCACCGGTTTGATTCCCGGTCAGGTCACATGTCCAGGTTGTGGGCCAAATCCCCAGTGGGGACATGCAGAAGGCAGCCAATCGATGTTCTCTCTTGATGTTTCTCTCTCCCTTTCCCTCTCCCTTCCTCTCTCTCTCAAATTAATAAAGCAAATAAAATAAAATACTGCTGTATTGAGCATCCATGTTCATTGAGAAATATTTTTCTAGTATTTCTGTATATAATCTTTTGAAAAGGGCATACAGTGACCTAAACCCACAGACATGAGTTTTTCTCAAAGTGAGCACTTTAAATACTGGTTAAAACAATGGGGGAATATTTATTTATAGCCAATGCATATAAAGTGCTTACTGTTCTAAGCACTTTAAAATTATTAACATTTAATTTTATAACATATCTAGAATGTAGGTACTGTTACCCCCATTTTGCAGATGAATAAACTGAGGCACAGTGATTAACTTGTCCAGGGTCACACAGTAGAGTTATTGAACACATTATTTGTAAACTTGGAAGAGAATGATGAAAATCATATTTTAGAAAGATTAAATGATGGTGATGTGCAGAGTTAGAATCCAAATATGAGGTAAGGAGGGTAGATCAGAATGGAACTAGAGAGGTAGGTTTAACTTTGCCAAGAATGGCTGCACAGGACTTACTGATTGTTTATAGGTAGACAAAGAAGATAGAATTTTCAAAGATAGACCAGAGACTATCCTAGCTGAGTGGTAGGGTGATGATTTCCCATTGCTAGATAGAGAGGGGTCGGGAAGGTTGACTTAGGGCGAAAGATGATGGGTATGAGCTGATGGTGACACGCCCACTAGAAATAAAAATTGAGTTGAAGATAATATAACTAACATGGTAGAGAAATGAAAACAAAAGGGTGAGAGATTTGAAAAATATCTTGTTGGGCTGTTGGTTACAGTTGTGTCATACCTATTAATTTAATTTGGAATAATTTGGCATTTTATAATACTGACACTTCCCTATCAAGAACATGGTATATTTTTCTATTTATTCAAGTGTTCTTTTATGTCTTTCAGTAAAATTTCATGGTATAGCTCCTTCCTTTAGGTTGTTCATATATACTCTTAGGATTATATTTAGATAATATAGATTTTTCTGGGGATATTATTGGCTGAATCGTGTTCCCCCAACCCAAATTCATATGTTGAAGTCATAACCCCCAGTACCTCAGAATGTGACTGTATTTTAAGATAAGTCCTTTAAAGAGGTGATTAAATTAAAATGAGGTCATTAGAGTGGGTCCTAAAACAATCTGATTGATGTCCTAATTTAAAGAAGAGATTAGGACACAGGAATGCGTGTGCACTTAGAAAGGACCACCTGAGGACACAGAGAGAAGACACCTGCAAGTCAAGCAGTGAGGCCTCAGTAGAAACCAAACCTGCCGACATCTTGATCTTGACTTCCAGTCCCTAGAACTGTGAAAAATAACTTTGTTGTTTAAGCTACTCGATCTGTGGAATCAATTTGTTAAGTCAGCCCTTGCAAACTGATACAGGGGATTACTGTAAATGGGAACTTCTATTACATATTATAAAGCTAGTTGGTTATTTGTTATTTTGCAGGAAAGATAATAATTTTGTAATTTATTTACAGGATGTAAAATTCTTCTGTCTGAAAACCATCATAAGTTTGCCTACTTCTTTATAATCATTTGCCTTTTATTTCTGTTTACCTTTGTATGTACGTATATCTGTGAATACAAAAAAAGGGGCAGGAGAGCTAAAGTCAGAGAGAAGATGTGATGATGGAAGCAGAGAGGGAGTGATGCAGGGCCATGAGCCAGGGATGCAGGCAGC